TAGCCACTTTTGTTCACGACAAGCGAGACAGTTTGCCTCCAGAATAACTGTCATGAAATAAGGTACAAGTGATGATATTAGAAACAGCAAAATTAACAACGATGTTATGGCAATTTTCCGTTCATTTTTGGCGTTGTCGACCCTACGCATGACGCGGAGTGCTGGTTCACCAGGCATTCTGTGTTCTCTTAGAATACCAACCCGAGAACGTTTTCGTAGAATCATGAATATTCCGGCATAACACACAGAAGTCGTTGCCAGAGGAAATGTCGTATGCAGATGTATATCTATTGACACATAGGTATCAATTGAGATTCCGGTAATTTGTAGCAAGGAAAACATTGTTGAGAAAGCAATAATACTCGCATTGCACAGAATAAGGTGTTTTCGCTTGACCTTGTTGCGATAGAAGAGGGGAAAAGTTACTGATATAAAGCGATCCACAGACATTGCTGTTACTAATAAGATAGAGCTGTTGACTCCTGTGTATCCCAACAATTTAACGACGTCTCCATCCTTTGGTAGCGTTTTGTCTCCAAAGGCGCAGGAAAATCGCATTACGGCTTCTCCAGTGCAAACCACACTTCCAGCAAATAAATCAGCTAAAGAAATGAAAACGAGAAATACAGCGAACGATTTTCTGAAACAGCGAAAAGGATTTTTGTACAACGCAATCAGAACGAAGATGTTTGGAAGTGATATCAAAACCGAAAGCAAAATGAAAGAAATTCCAGTCCCAAGACAAAGAGACTTCTCGAATTCCCGATCCATGGAAAAGAAAATGATTCCTTCCTTCTCTGCTGCTGTAGTGTAGTGGTAAGAGCGTCACAATTATCATGAAGTAATTAACAAATTCCTCCTCTTTCTTTCACTTTGTTTGCCTTAAACATGCCTGCGGGATATTGCTGAAGTTATTGAATTCATAACGACTAAATTTCACCTGCCGTTGACGTATGAACAAGCGCAGAAAATTCCCAAATCTGTTAATTAAAAAAAAAAAAAAAAGACACACACACACATGAATAAGATAGGATCAAATACTGCTGTTGATTGGTGAAATAACTTGCATCTTTTTCAGAGTGTCCATTCCTGAGCTCAATATTCATATCCCAGATAATTCTATTTGAGTCCTCGAAAAATTTCTCTTAGTAACTTCGTAACCTTCCTTCCTTTGTTTTAGTCTTGTATGTTAAATTTGTTTACATTTTATCTTTTCTTGTAATCACAACCACTTTTACAGAAAGTTTATCTACGTGCAGTAGACTTCCAGCGAGATTCAGTGTAAATTCCGTTCCCTTCAAGCGCGTAAACTAATAACGAATATTTATGTTTTTCTACAAAGTTTAAGCTTGTATTATTTACGAAAGGTATAAGTTCGCTATCAGACTTATTCTAACTTTTTCAAGTCAAATGGACTGTATGCTAATCTATATTTTAATCCCTTTCAATTTGGTAAACGACTTCTCCTTTCACAGGTTTTAAAAAGTTAAACTTGAGTTGGTGCAGTCAAACAGAATTCGCTCATGTTAGGAGTCACTCGTCATTCGCTAAATTAGTCATCGATTCAGGCCGTTTTCCCACACGAAAGGGACTTTTAGTTTTGGAAGTTGGAGCTGCTTAACTAAACCTGAAGTAGTCATCACTCATCGGATACTTTACACACTTAGCATTCTTTTCAAATTTTTTAGGTGTACTCGATATTCATAATTTCTTCAGAGTTCACTTCCAACACATTTCATAACACCCTAGGGGAAGTCTGAAACAGCTGGTTGATGACAAAAACATTTATTATCAGCTTTTAGGTATTAACCCGTCAATATTTAAGAAACGGTTAACGGAATTCTGTTCAAAACTAATATGCCCGAGTTCAAAAACAGTAAATTATTATTGTTATTATAACAAAGTGGGTTACAATTAAAGATCGCAATGAATACAGCTGTACATAAAGATAATTCTTTTTTATGTATTTATTCTTTTTCAGGATGTAGTTATTTTAGAAAAATAATAATTTAATACTATGCAATATACATATACATACTGAAACATTTTACATACAGGCATATATCTATATAAAAAAAATCTAAATAAAGAAGACATATCTAAGATAAAAATTTTATTTAAAATTATAATTAAATAATGTATAATACATAGAATAATTTAATTTCTAGTTATAGGCCTAGTTAAAAAAAGTTGATTTAAGAGCTTTCTTAAAAGCATTAATTGAGTCAGCTAGTTTCAAGGATTTCAGTCGGTCTTCATACGGAGTGTCTTTACCAATGATTCATCTCGTAACGTTCCTTTGCACGCATTCATACTCGAGTATTGGACGGATCATGGATCTATAACCAGTAAATAGAGCCTTAGAGTGAGATCCAAATGTCCGCTTGAGTAAGCCCAATAATCTGTTCGATCTTGCAACAACAGACAGTACGTGGGCAATAGGCTTATTGCGAGCATTTCTTAAGCGATAAGGTCGACTGGGAATGCCAATACTAGTTGTGTTTTTAGGTCTTCGAACGCATAAAGTCGGCCTTCCCTGCAAAATCCTCCTTTTCCCTCGCGGGTGAAAAATAACGACTGGCCTTTTACCATATTCCGCTAAGGTCTAACATTACAGATTCTTCATTGTTACTCTGATAATTATTTTGATATATTGGCGACGAAAACAGGGAACACTCATATCTAACGAATCAATTTTTAACTCTGAGAGTTTTTGAAGTTAAACAACTAATTTAGTTTTGGTGAGCCATTATCTCCCTTTATTGTTCCAAGAAACGAAAAACGTCACATATTTTATCAATAATACCTTCTAGTGCGTGGCACGTGCGGGTGAGATCTTCCGCTCTGCACTACTTAGCGAGGACCGTTAGAAAAGCGAACAAAAAATATCTCTTTATGACAATCATATTACAAGTGGAGGCGTAATTGTTTCGAAGCAACTCCTGTGATGCTATTGCTCTCAACAAAAACCTAATTCGAACTTTTAATATTCAAATGAAGCATTTGCTTGAAAAGTTAATTTCATACCTGTCATATTTTTACTTACGTAAAAAGGCTTACTGCGACTAAACCCGACGAAAGTAATTTGCATGACAATCATTTCCCGCAGTGTATGTCAGCACTGACTAAACGGCTGGTTCTTGCTAAAAGCAGAATTATCAAGCTTTGCATTTATATTGGCAAAGGATATTTTGGACCAATCTCCAGCCAATGACAATTTTCTAGAAGGTTGCATTAGGTTCAGCTTAGGTTCGACTAAATTTCGAAAATTTTGACAATTTTCTAAAAGGTTGCATTTGGTTCAGCTTAGGTTCGACTAAATTTCGGTGGAAATACCTGACCGGAAAATAATTTGTATGACAATCATTTCCCGCAATGTATGTCAGCACTGCGTAAACGGCTGGTTCTTGCTAAAGGAAAAATTATCAAGCCTTGCATTTATATTGGCAAAGGATATTTCGGACCGATCTCCAGCCACTGACAATTTTTTAAAAGATTGCATTTGGTTCAGCCTACAGGAACTAAACTCACCCAACGGAAAAAAATAATGATGACGAGAAGCTGCCAGTTGTGGGGAACACTCCTGTTATCAATAACTATGTTGAGTGGGTACTAAAGCTTCTTTTAAAAGATTTGTTTCATTTAGAATGCATCCTAAGCGCACCCCGAGGAGTCCTTCTAATGGGTACCCTTTGAAAAGTCTTTAAAAGAAAATTGAGCGCAAAAAAAGACCGGTAAAACTTAGAATAGTTTTAGATTAGCCTGTATGGCAGATGGCCACACAGTCTTTTTTTCAGGAAGCCAAGACGAGTTATTTTAGGGGATGTATTTCAGGGAACCATTTTACCTTTAAAGCCTGTTCTAACTCATGGGTCTATCATGAAAAAGTGAGGCTTCAGCGCAAACATGCAAATTGCGCTGGGATATTTTAAGCTCGGGTTTTTTTTCCAATTTAAAGATATACAAATTCTGTAATGACTAAAAAGATAGTCGAAATTTAGGTCGCCTCTCACCTATCACCAACTACCGAGCCTGGAAGCTTAACAATATCATTTCAAGTCTTTGAAGTCTTGTTTTCTCCTTAAAAGTTTTTATATGAGTCAGATTTTCGTAGGTGTGTAGTTTTTCGTGAATCTGTAGACAATATCTGAGAAGCCAACGACGTCATGCGGAAATGTTCTTTAAACCCAGCGATGCCCTTATGTATTTATCAATTCCTAAGTTGCAAAACGTAGTTATGGAAAGAAGGCTCACTCTTTAATCTTACAAGGGCCGCCTATCTTAGCAAAAAGTAATAAGATAAAAAAAATTAAAGTAAATAGACAAAAACATGGATAACTAAATATAAATAAATTATGTCAGTGATACAAAACAAGAAAAAATGCTGAGATACATTTCACCTATCTAGAAAGTTAGTTTTTAAAGAAACCGCTTTGTATTAACTTGTATATTCGAAACCTCTGTCAGCTTCGCGGTGCTTGAAGATTTGGTTTAAACGAAATGGTGATTGCAATTACTCTACTATAATGGCAGTTTCCATGAAAATCATATTCAGCAGTTTTATGCAACAGTGGTTTAAAGTTGTTTATTTGCCCAAGAAGGTCTTGCGATACCTTTGTATTCTTCATAATTATCGTCATCATTATTTTCATATTTAGAATTCTTAAATTTTTGGTTCTGTTCCTGTTTTTGTTGTTTCAGGTTTTGCCCTGGGTAGTAAAGATTGCGATTCCAATAAATGTAACTCGGAAAGTGAAAATGGAGGCGATCATTGTTATCCGCTCGGGAATTGCAGCAGTGGTAATTATTGCTGTTATATGAAATGCAAGGGCAAAGAGTGTAAACAGACGTGCTATACTGGAGTTGAGTTCTGTAAAATGGATCTGGAATGTGAAGGTAGCGATTGTGACCAAACCTGCGACGCTGACGAATGTAATCTGAACTGCAGCGGGAAAAATTGTAAAACACAGAAGTGTCGAGGTAAAGGAAATGTATGTGAAATGGATCTAGAATGTGACGGTCAGGATTGTGAACAAACCTGCGAGGCTAAAAAATGTAATCTGAATTGCACCGGGAAAAACTGTAAAACACAGAAGTGTCTAGATAAAGGAAATGTATGCGAAATGGATCTAGAATGTGACGGTGAGGATTGTGAACAAACTTGCGAGGCTAAAAAATGTAATCTGAATTGCACCGGGAAAAACTGTAGAATACAGCAGTGTCGAGATCATGGAAATGTATGCGAAATGGATCTAGAATGTGACGGTCAGGATTGTGAACAAACTTGCGAGGCTAAAAAATGTAATCTGAACTGTACCGGGAAAAACTGTAAAACTCAAAAGTGCCAAGGTAAAGGAGATGTATGTGAAATGCATCTAGAATGTAACAGCCAGGATTGTGAACAAATCTGCGATGCCAAAGTATGTAACCTGACCTGCAGCGGGAGAAAATGTAAAACACAAAGTTGCACAGATGAAATACAGGTGTGCAATACGCATTTTAACGCTAACGTTTGAACACAGATGTGTGACGGTCACTCCATCACTCCAGATTCATACACGTCGAATATCGTTACATATATTGGGGCTTCAACAATTCGAATATTCGCAACTAAAATTTCAACAGGACATGGAACAGAAGCTTACAGTGAGTACAATAATACTTTGAATACTTAAAACCATCTTTTTTTTATTTAACGAAAAAGTGATTAAGATTCTGAAAAAGAAAAAGAAAATATTTTCTTTCAAAATTCGTCGCACCTTACCATAGCGTCAAGTTTATTTTAACAATTAAATGGTCTTTAACATTCAGCTCGATTGCAATCAATGTCGCAGTCACCTTTAGCATTAATCTCACCGTTACCATCACCTTCATCACACCCACCATCAGCAGCAATATTACCAGCATGGACATCAACATCGACATCAGCACTATTGCCATCATCATCAAAGCCAGTAGCAACATCAGCATCAGCATCAGCACCAGGATTATTATCAGCAGCATCATTGGAAGCAATATCAACAGCAGGGGCATCAGAATCTTCATCAGCACTGTCACCATCATCATCAAAGCCAAAAGCAACATCACGATCATCATCAGCAACATCGTCGGAGGCAGCATCAGTAGCAGCATCAGCATCATCACCATTATTGCCATCATCATTTGTAACATCGGCAGCAGGATCATCGTCGTCTCCGTCTCTAGGGACACCTCTGTCATCGACGTTAGAAATTATTAAGAGTCTGGTGAGCAAATTATTTCTCTCAAGCTTTTTATTTACAACATTGTTGCTCGCCAACTTTACTGTCTTTCTTTATCTCAGGCAAACGATTCTGTTTCCAAACTAAAAGGCGAAGAAATCAGTAGAATCAGGCCTTTGAAGGTATGAATTAACTACTTATATTTTATGATTAAGCCCCTTAGTTTATATGAAATGCACAGTGGTTAGAAAGAATGAACAATGCATTGCATCAGTTTCTAAGCTTGAAAAAACTTTGAGTTCATTCGAACAAGAGCAAACAAGACTGTACGATTATCGTCATCGTCATCATTATCATCGTCGTTATTATAGTTATTATGACAGTATCATCGTCACTATCTATATCATTTCCATTTCTAAGATATGAACTGGCATGAGTGAACCATACGCTCAAAGAACCAAGTCTTTGCATGACCTTCAATGATTTGGAGCTTAGAACAGACAAGTTCTTTAAAAAAATATCGATGAAATTAAAAAGGTTATTGAACAAATAAAATAATAACGAATTAAGATGAATAAAATGTCATAGAGATCAATTAAATTTATGAGCGAAAGCCGGTAGGATGTCTAAAGTAGTGCAGTACAAAATTAATTAAATACCTTGTCAAATATTGCTTCGTTTTGTTTTTGTTTCTATCTTGCTTTGAGTTTTTGCTTTTTTTTTTTTTGTTTGTTTGTCAGTTTTTTTTTATTGCTTGCTTGTTTCACTAGAGACGTATGGCAACCTCTGACTCAAATACGACTGAGTCTTTCTTTGTCCCTCGGAGTCGGACAAATAGTCTTTCTCGCCGGCATAAACGCTACAGAAAATACCGTTAGTGTTGTATTTATCTATTTATGGTTTATTTGCATTTTAGGGGCCGAACAGATTCTCTTTTGAAAATAATATGAAAAACCTACAAAAACTTTTTTTTCTCTCTCGTAGGCTCTCTGTGTCCTAATAGCAGCTTTCTTGCAGTACTTCCTACTGGCAGCTTTCTGTTGGATGCTGGTGGAGGAAATTTATTTCTTCCTATCTGTTGTGAAAGTTTATAACATCAGCACCAAGATGCATATGTATCACTTCATATCATGGGGTAATGTTATTTCACTTGTTGTAAATTATTGTAAGCTGCTGAATCGAAATCGCCTGAAAATTGGACGTACGACTTCTCGAGTTGCACTAACTTCATTCTACTTATGTTTAGGTTTGCCCATCATCATGGTTAGCATTTCAATGAGCATCGCTGCTGGAAAAGATGGAATGAAAAGCTATATCAGTGAAACATAGTATGAGAAACAGCGAATAATATTAATAATAGCAGTTTCTTCTCTCTTCTTCCTCTTCCCTCTCTCTCTCTTTTCATTTAAATAATCGGCATTTCACGACCCGTTGCTGTTGTTTAGATCTCTTCCCAGTTTTACTTTATCACTCCATTTGTTTTCACTTGGAGTTACCTTGTTTTATTATGCTGTTGTGTTTGATTTGTGTTGTGCTCTGTGTTGTTGTTGCTGCTTTTCTGGAATTTAATTTTTTTTATATACTCGTTTCCAGTTGCTGGCTGTCCTCGAGAAACAACCTGATCTGGATCTTCGTCACATTTGTAGCTATCATTGAAGTTGTGAGTCTGCGTTGTTATTATTGTTATTATTATTATGATAATTGTCGGTAATATTATCGCTATTTCCTACACCAGGACTGCCTATTATTAAAGATTTTTATTAGTAAACCTTTACCGTCTTTCTAAAGAATATCAACTCCAATTGATATTCCCTTGTGTCTTTCCAACTTCCATTCCTCTTGGCCTGTGTATGAAAGAGTAATAGCGTGGCAGCACACGGCTCTCTGCTGCTCATTATAGAGACGTCGGAGCGCGTTGGTTAGCTTAACACAGGGGTTTAATTTTCTATAAAGATTCAGAATTTTCTTTTTTCAAACGCTCGTAACAGGACGAATGACAATTTTTCTGTTTTCCGCGATACATTTCATAATCCTTATTTTTTTCAGCTCAACATTTTGATACTCGTCCGAATAATAAAGGAGATGAGCACATTAACACAACCCACGGGGGAAGACAACCATTTACAGCAGATACGGGAAGTTTTCAAATTTAACATTTATTAGATAATTGTGGTAAACTAGTTAAAATTCAGGGGGGGGGGAAAGGTAAGTAAAAACGAGTTTCTACAAAGACTCCTCGAGTAATGAAATCAAATTATTGCCGCATTTAGTCTAGCAGTATTTGCCTAGATTCCACTCTCGTTCGTTTGCAACGATGAAGCAATACGATTTTTTTCCCGTGATGGAAAGAAATGGTTAATCGATCCTCGTGATATGTTTTTCTCATTATTCAGACTTGGCATTAAAACATGCGCGGTGATGATTCCACTGCTGGGTGTCACATGGCTTTTTGGTCTTTTGCTATCATCACACAAAGCTTTCGCCTACCTTTTCACCATTTTCAGCTCTACTCAGGTGAGCTTTTAATAAAAGTTAGTCTATAATTAAATTTTAGTCATCTGTTCACATACTTAGATGCTCAAACCACTCTTTTGCCTAAAAAAGACTCTTTTGGTCAGATGATATTGCCTATTCAGAATAATTTACCCAACAGCAGACAATCTTTAGTGGTTTAAGAGATATGCGACTTGCTTTAATTCATTCTTTCGCCAGCTTTATTGTGGTTTCATCTCAAACGATCATACCGTTATCACCTTTCTCGCCCAAATTACAAAAAGTGTAATACTGATATAATTATCTGTTTCAGGGAATCCTGATTTTCGTTCTTCATTGTGTGCGGAACAGCCAGGTATGATGAATATCAAACTGAGGATGTACATAAGACGAATTGTAAATTTGCTAGACACCAATAAAGATTTTGGCGGTTACCATTTGATACTTGGTCGCTTGTTCATCTGTAGATTAGAGAGCAATTGAAAAGGAAGATAAACATCATTTTCCCATCTGCTGTAGATCATGGAAGCTTTGCGAAGAAGAGCTCTCAAGTTAATCCAAGAGATACCAGCGAAGTGAGGGCAGTAGAAATGCAGTCCTTCAAAGAATAGCAGAATACAGTATTCAGTAATTCAATTCTAACCACTTTTAGTGATACCGTTTTTCCAACTGTAAAAATGAAAAATCCCCAAGGAAAAGCTCACAGGTTAATCCAAGTGATGTCGGTGATGTGTGGGCAGTTGCATAGCAGTCTTAAAATAAGTTGGAATTAAAAAAAAATTTTGCTTAAATAACTGGATTCAATAGAACGAAAATAAGAGTCGATTATATAAAACCGCATCATACATTCAAGTCTCACTTGTTTAACTCTAATACACATTTTACTGTATTTCCTTTAAACCACTGTTTATCAATATCTATAACGACTTAATATTGGTCCACATTTTGAGTACCTGTCGAGTCACTTTTGATCACCTTGGATTAAAATCGGTGTACTGAGAAGCAATGAAACAAACTGTCCCGTAGGGAAGAATCCCTCTGAGTTTTGATCAATGCTTAGAGTAAACCATTAAAGGGCGGAAGAGAGGAAGGGGTTTGAATCCATCTTAACCACCTTCTCTTCGCTCTCACCCTCCTAACCCCATCTCCCCAGGGGAAGATTCTAAGATGCCTGAGAAGTCCAACTACTCTCTTGAGTGAGTGTTTTAGTTGCTCTGTTATGTTTTTGTCTGTTTTTTTTGGTTTGTTTCTTTAAATATGAAGCCATTGTCACAAAATCTTCTGAAATGTTGAGTAATCCTTCCACTGTGTGATTACAAGCTCGTTAGATATAAGTTAACGCCACTTTACGTGAGGCGCGCACGCACACATTTGTAACGACGACCCCCCACTTCCCCCTTCTTTCGAAAGGGGAAGAAGGGGAGACGTAGAGAGACCTAGCTACGCCCACCTATTTTGTGTCCTCTCATTGCATTAGAAAGAGGATAGATGTAATATCTAAGCTTTGTGACGATTATTTAAGGATATATTAGTCAAGCAAGATATAAGTGCAGACAGATATCGAGGAGCACGAAAACTTTCTATCACCATTGCTCATAATTATTGATGCAACGGAATAGCGATCAACACATTCGTCGTTGAGCGATATCTTTAATTTCTCATTTAAGCGAAATGACCCAGAGATACTTCTTGTTATTCTCTCGATATAATGATAGCATAATAAAGAATGGTCTGCATACCCCCAAAATTCCAAACTAATGTATCCAAAATGAATTAAATAAATTAAAAGATGATATTTGAGTGTCTATGGAGAAGAGCGGATGCTAAGGGTTAAGTAACGGCAGGGAAAGTTAAGGCAGTGTTATCATTTAAGTTGTAGGATCATTTTAAAATAAGTAAATTATTTCAAATAGAAACATATTTGTTCCGTGCCAGTTCGAATTTTTTAGGCGCTCTAAAAACACCGAAAGTGCTATTTCAATAGCTAAGTAAACAAGGAATCTTAATGGTGAGTAGGCAACCGTAAAAATGACATGAGCAATTTTTTGTCATAATTGCTACTAAATAGTTACTTTCTCGAGCTTGGGGAGTTCACAATTGTTTAATTTAATATGTTTTTCTCACTGCATGATTGTGGGTCGCACTCTATTTTATTGAAAGAATTACGGAATGAAACAGTTTCTTTCGATATTAATGGGTTATTCTGCCATGTTTGTTTTAAGCAGGTGCAAAGAATTTAACCGAAGACAAGACGTTCAAGAATTCGCATGACATTCAATTTCCTGCAAAATCTATTAGCAACAGAATGATGATGTTCACTAAAAGCAACAAACAGTAAAAGCTTATCCTTTAAGCAAGAGATTGATCTTGGAGGGTTTACAAAAAAGGAATTTCCATCAACCTGATATTGCCAAACAGGAAAAATGGTAAGAATTGGGGAAACGTAATGCTCACAGAAAATCAACCCTCACAGAAAAAAACCAAATGTTGACGAAATTTTGTCAGATGTGAGGAACAGTCCTATCATCAATGACTATGTTGAGCGAGAACAAAAGTTATTTTTAATACATAAATCATTGTTCACCAGATTGGTGCCACAAGCATACTACGAAAATCATGACTGCTTCCGAGTTCTTTGGCGAGACTCGAGTTTGTTACCCTCACAGCGGCTTTCGGACAGAAATAACAATATCTCCATGTAAACTCTCATAAAATAACACTGTTTAAGTAATAAACCATACTTTTTGTCGGTCAACACACGTAATAAATCACTTGAGATGATGGGAGAACACAGGAAAGTTTTTAAATCACGTGATGCTAACTTTCTAGCGACCCAAGCAAGATCAATTTTGAAGGGTAAGTGAGGATTTCATTGGGGTAATGGGGTGTAAATTAATGATCTTCAGCCCACGTAATAAACAGAGTGGAGCTGAGGATGCAATGCGTTGTTATGATATATTTGCCGCATGCCATGCTTAGCATTTTGTCGTTGTCGAGCATGTTGACCAACTCCTTCCCTTCCCATCTCCCCTCATGCCTTTTCTTTCCTTAGTTCTTTTTTTTTTAACCCTTTAACAGCTAATTTAGCAATGTTGAGAAAATAATCTCTGACGTACAGAAGAATAGGGTAGAATTCAAGAGAATGTCAACTGAGAGCACAAAAATACTTGTTATGTTATGTGCTCCACTTGTCATAAGGTTTGGGTTTGTTGGTGACTAACCATGCAAAACTTAAACCTTTAATCCAAAGGATTAAAAAACCTTTAATCCGAAGGCTTTGAGAAAACTCGCACTAAATGTTATATCGTTTAACTTAACAACAAGACCAAAAAATTGAGAAACTGAAGGAGATAAAGAGGTTTTAATTTGGTGGCCTCGTGGCACCGTTCGAGGATGCCGCCACCGCGCATGCACGAAAAACTTGATGTCCCACATGGAAACCCAAGCGACGGTTGGTCGACCAGCCGCAACATGGTTATTACATCTTTCGATTATGTTAACCCATTCCTACATAATAGAACAAATGTATAAAAAATAATGGAACGGATATCTTTGAGTTTGTTTTGCCATCAAGGAGTGTTTGGTTTCGATACGAAGCAAAATGACCTGGAACAGTTAGCCACATTTACATAATAATTATGCGATTTTAAAACTGAAGTGGTCGTTTTAATTCATTATTACTGTGTTCTAACTGACGTCCTGCAGAACACCTTCGATCAGGAGTAAAATGTAAGGTCTCAGGGACACAATAACCTAGTTACCAACCTTCTTGAGTTATTGTGACAAGATATCACGCAGGGAATACATGCAAATGTAGGATGTCAACCGCGCAGAACAAAGTTCGTCGTTTAATATTAAGTCATGCATCACATTTATGAAAATTTTTGAAAAAAATGTGCAAAAAAAGAGGAGTTAAGTTTGAGTAATTACTTCGCAAACGATAGCTATCGCCAAACTTGACTCATAAATAAAACTTAAAGAGTTAAAAAAATTAACTAAGTAACGTTACATCATCTGCACTATTTCGAAAGGTAAAATTAATAAAGTTTTTTCTCGTCGCAATTTTTTTGTTTTTATTGCGCAAAACGTCTTTCCGCACCTGGTCCGAAAATCCTTTAGACTTATTGGTGCGTTTATAAAGGGAAAATAAATATTGACCTTACGTCAGCTAGGAACGATCAAGTGTTTTGATGTTCATTACACCTGGCCTCCTAATAAGAGGTTTGAAATACATTGACACATCTGAAGCAGAAGAGATGCCACTAAGTCACGAACCAAAACAAGCATACTGACAGCTGCTAACGGAATCTCATGATGAATGATGCGATGAAAGGGCTTCAATCCCTTAAAATGATCACAGCTCTTTGTTCGCTGAGTAAGTACAAGCTTTACTACATCGATTCGTTATGCTTTGTAAATATAAAATTAGTAGTAAATGCTACGATGAAGAAATTGAGGTGGCGGGACAGCCAGCGGCCCGTGCCAAAAATAAACCTGAAAAGGATATGTCAATTGGACCTTATTCAGCTTCTTGATAACAAAAGAAGTATAAATTGAGAACAAATGAATGAATAAGTAAGGTATAAAATAAAAATAATGCAGGCGATGTGTGTAAGTGTGCTTTTAAATTTTATTTAGTTTCAATACAACGCAAAATAGTTAAACACACTGACATATATAATTACAATCATGAAGTTTTAAAAATGAATTCGTCGTTGTTATCCATAATTAGTGTTCTGTCGTGACGGTCGGGGAAACAGTTTTGTGCTTTGAAAAAAAAAAACACACAAAAGCCCAGCTGCTATCCTTTGCAGCTATCTTTACAGGATGTCACTGTGGAAATACGCATAAATCTATTGAGCAAAAAAGAAGAAAAAAAATATATATATACAAATATATACATAAGTATTACAATATTTATATTTTGCATCGATCCCAGTATACCATCATTCGTCGAATTCGATAATTTTATTTTTAATGAATTTTCAATGCATGGCTTCAAAATTTTAATTGATAAACTTCGGATTCAGTTAAGCTTAAAAGACGGTTAGTTAATCATCGAGGCTGTTTGGGGCGAAACTGGTTCGGGTGCACTCCAATTCGCTTTACTACTCAACTAAACCACCTTGAAGCCGGACATTTTTTTTTCAGGCTTCTCTTATCGAAATTTCTTTGTATGGGCTAGACATGAGGGGATCCTTTTATCATTTTGAGCCTCGATGAGTTACAAAACTATCAGCAATAAAGTTTATTTCTTTTTCTCCGACTGCGCAAAAATAATGAATAGCTCTTGAATTAGCGCTTAGGCAAACATGCGGCGCCCTCGGGCAAAATGAAGCGAATCCTGTGCTCTGATTGGCTATCCGAGTAAGCCAGATGAACTTATCTTGCCAGTCCTGTTAGAGTCCATCCGTCACTTTACGCGCTTGGACCAGTCACGCGCGAGTGGAAATGCATTTATTAATTTATTAGAAATAGTTTAACTTGAAATTGAGAAACCTTTTTTCTTTTGTTTCAAATGATATTATTGTGACAAGAGGTCAATGCACAACGTTTAATTTATTTCTCTTCTGCAGTCGTTGTTACTGTAATGATGCAATGGACAGAAACA